CCCCCGAAGTCTGCAAAAGAGGCAGGCACAGCTGGAGCTGGTGACAGCTGCTCCAGTTCCATCATGTGGCTGCTGGTGCCCCTCACCCTCTGCCTTGGCCTCTGGGCAGAGCTTGGCGCTGCTGTCATCCCAGGTAGAAACAGGGATGGGGATGGGGACAGACACCCCTGGTGCCAGTGTGGTGGTGGCTTGGCTGCTCACAGGGCATGGCTCAGTAGGGAGCAGGGATACCCAGCATTGGAATGGGGCTTTGTGTCTGCTGTTTGGGGACTTTGGGCAGGTGTTGCCCTGTGGGGTTGGGGTCCTGCTTTTGTTTGGGTCGGGAGGGGGTGTATGATGTGCCTATAGCTCCTCTACCTCCATGCATTTGTCCCTATCCCACTTGGCAGCTGGTTTCTCCCACTGCATCCCTTCTTGCTGCACACCCCCTTCCTGTCAGGAAGTACATCTCTATGTCCTCCCCTCATCCCAAACCTGTGGGTTCATCTGTACCCCCCAGTGGGATTATCCCATGAGTGGGAGCCCAGCGAGGTCCTCAGTTTGGGGATGTCCACCACTGGGTGTCCTGGGTGTCCACTGGGTGCCATGAGCTGATGTGGGCAATGCCCCTTCCCAGAGGAGGAGGAGGATCCAACCTTCTGGAATAGGAAGGCAGCTGCTGCCCTCGATGCCACCCTCAAGATCGAGCCAAGGATGACTGAAGCCAAAAACCTCATCATCTTCCTTGGAGATGGTGAGTCCATCTGGTGCCAGTGCACAGTGAAATGGGAATGGGGAGGGCATCTGGGCTGGACCTGAACCCTCATTCCTTGTCCAGGATTTGGGGTCCCCAGCATCACAGCCACTCGGATACTAAAGGGGCAGTTGAAGGGGAACCTGGGACCCGAGACCCCCCTTGCTCTGGATTCTTTCCCCTATGTGGCTCTCTCCAAGGTAATTTCCCCCAGTACTGGACTTGGGACCATGCTGCAGGCCATGGGGCTGTGGGGGCAGACATATGGCAAGGGGTGCCAGTGTGCCCTGTGCATGTCCTCGGCAGACATACACTGTGGACCGGGTGGTTCCCGACAGCGCGGGCACAGCCACCGCCTACCTGTGTGGGGTGAAGGGCAACTACAAGACGGTGGGGCTGAGCGCAGCCGCACGCTACGGCCAGTGCAACACCACGGAGGGCAACGAGGTGATCTCAGTGCTGGAGCGAGCCCGTAATGCTGGTACTGCGCAGGGCATGTGGTGGTAGGGACACGGGGCTTCACACCATTGGGGCTGCCCACCATGGTGGGGTGTTTTGGGGCAGGGAAGGCAGTGGGCATCGTGACAACCTCACGAGTGCAGCACGCATCGCCCTCGGGGACCTACGCACACGTGGTGGATCGCAACTGGTACGCGGACGCCAGCATGCCGGCTGAGGCCATAGCACAGGGCTGCAAGGACATTGCCTGGCAGCTGGTGCACAACGTGGACATCAATGTGAGTGCCTGTCCACGGGGGGCAGCCCCTGCTGACACAGACATCCATACACACAGTGCCCATCTCATCCCTTCCAGGTGATCATGGGAGGCGGTCGGAAATACATGACCCCTGCGGGGACACCAGATCCTGAGTATCCTGAATACAGCTCCGAGAATGGGATACGGAATGATGGGCAGAACCTCATTGACAAGTGGCTGTCAGAACGGCAGGTGGGTGACAAAGAAGGGACAGCCCTCTGCCCACCACCCCTTGTGCATGGGGCCGGGCCTCACCGATCCCGTGGGGATCTACCCACAGGGTGCCCGCTATGTCTGGAACAAGACAGAGATGCTGGCTGCCGCTGCAGACCCCAGCGTGACTTATTTGATGGGTAACAAATGCTCCACATGCCGGGATGTGGCACTGCTGGGATGCCTGCAGGCACTGAGGCTGTGCTCACTGTGTCCTTCTGCCAGGTCTATTTGAACCCATGGACATGAAGTATGAAATGGTGCACAATTCTACCCTGGATCCCTCTCTCACTGAAATGACAGAGGCAGCCATCAATGTCCTGAGCAGGAACCCCAATGGCTTCTACCTCTTCGTGGAAGGTAATTCAGGGCTGAGGTCCCAAGGGTGGGCGAGAGAGGGGCAGTGGGCTCTGCATTACAGCTCACTGCAGTGGTTTCCAACCCACTATGGTTACCTGCCTGCAGGTGGGAGGATCGACCACGGCCACCACGAGGGCATGGCACAGCGGGCACTGACGGAGGCGGTGGAGTTTGACACAGCCATTGAGCGGGCAGGCGAGCTGCTGGACGAGGCAGACACGCTGACTGTGGTCACTGCTGACCATTCGCACGTCTTCTCCTTTGGTGGCTACACCCTGCGTGGCACCTCCATCTTCGGTAGGGCTCAGAGCAGGGAATGGCCACACGCTAGGTGCTGCCCCTCTCTCAGATTGTGGTGTGGGTCTTCCTGGCTGATCCCCCCTTATAATCTCCTCCTCAGGCTTGGCCCCTCTACAAGCCACCGACCAGAAGAGCTACACCTCCATCCTCTATGGGAATGGGCCGGGCTACCCAGGTGCCACTCGGCCTGATGTGAATAGCAGCATTGCTGGTGAGGGCACAGGGCAACAGTATGGTGGTGGGATGGGGCTGGGGGCCACCTCCCCACTCACAGGCTTCTCTCCCCCCAAGAGGAATTCAGTTACATGCAGCAGGCGGCTGTCCCACTCAGCTCGGAGACCCACGGGGGTGAGGATGTGGCCATCCTGGCCAAAGGCCCCATGGCCTACCTCTTCCACGGGGTGCAGGAGCAGAACTACATCGCCCACGCCATGGCCTACGCCGCCTGCCTTGAGCCCTATGAAAACTGCCGCCAGCGCACCAGTGCTGCACCCTCAGCCCACCTCACCCCGCTGGCCCTGCTTCTGCCTGCTTTGCTCTTATCTCTCTTCCACTGACCCCACAGCTTCCATCCCCATCCCACAGTGCACACCCATGGACAGGGGCTCTTTGGAGTATCCTTGCTTTGGATGCGGTGCACCAAATCCCGGGCATGGACTGGTCCTCGCTGCCTGCACAGGGTACTCATTGTTCAATAAACCTTGGTGTGATGCTAGCACATATGTGGCAATTGGTGTGTGGGATGGGAAGGATGCTCCTGCCCCATGAGTCTCCCCACCACTGTGCTGCCTGCTGCCACCTGTCCCCATACCATACCCTGGCACATCTGGCATATCCAGTGCTTTATTGATCAGAAAGAGCAGCAAAAAATACAGCACGTTTGTGTGCACTTCCAGACAGGCTGGCATCAGCCCAGCCCCCAGTGACTAATGGGAAAAGGATGGGGCTGGCACAGGGATTAGACTCGTGGTACAACCGGTGCCTCCAGGTCCCCTCCCTGCCCTGAGCAGCTGGATGTGGGGAGCTGGGAGCTTTGGGGTAGTGTGGACAAGAGGGTGCCACTGGGAGAGAGAGCTCATAACCCCAGTGTGTCCCCTCTGCCTTGCTACACCCCACCCCAAGTGGTTGCCTATTTTGAGGTGCACCCTTTGCCTGTAGGGCAGGAGGGGAGTGAGCAGAGAGTGGCACTGGTGCAGGGATGGGTACTGGGGTGCCAGCCTGCGGGGACAGCGACTTCACCACACCGAGCACTTGTGCACCGGGTTCATGGGCGAGTTCTTGGGGCAGTGGAAAACCCGGCCAAACTCCTCAAACTGTGAGACGCTGCCCAGAACCCTGTGGGCAGGGGGAGAAGCTCAGAGCTGTCCCAAGGACCCTGCCCCTCACCCCTGCCCACCCCAATGGCACCGCGCCCCACCCATGCCCCCATTTCTACCTGTAGTGCTCCGGGGCATGCTTGTCTGTCAGCACCTGAAGGTAGATGGACTGGGATCGCCTCTTGATGCACCAGTTCTGGGGGAACAAGGTCCCATGGGTGAGACAGGAAGGAGACCCCAGATTTTGACACCCATCAGGACCCACAAGGGCCTGGTACCCACCGGGATTGACCCTTCTGGTTGCTGGGGGATGAGGGCAACAATGCTGTGTTTGTTATTGTAGGGTCTTCCAGGAGCCTACAAACGTGGTTTGGATGGATTGGGAGCACTGGGGAATGTTTGTTGTTGTAGGGTGTCTTGGGGCTGCGGTATGTGCAATTGTGGGGTCCTCCAGGTTCATGTGAAGTTGTTGTAGTGGGGGGGTCTCTGGCAGAGACGGGGGAATGTGGTTGTTATTGTAGGGACCCCAAGAGCACACAGGCTGTGTGGGGTGGTCCGGTGGATAGTGGGGGTATCTGCAGAGCCCAAGAGCTGCTCATAGCCACAGACACTACCTCACCTGGGCAAAGGCGATGAAGAATAGCTGGTCGTGAGTATACTTCAGGTGGTGCAGGGGGTGCTCAGGGCCATGCTCCCGCACCCACTTCTGGTAAGCCTGGAGAATAAGAAGTGCCAAACTGCCACAGAACCCCCAGAAAGCAGGACTGCCGCAGCCCTGCCAGGGCTGTGACACTTCAGGGTGGGGGACACTCACATAGTAGGCGAGCTTTAGTCCCCCCATGTCAGCGATGTTCTCCCCCAGCGTGTGTTTGCCATTCACCTGCCAAGAGAGGGGCAACATGGGTTGAGCAGAGATGTCCCCTGTCCCTATGATGGCATGAAGGCAGTGCCTCTGTTTCCCCCTCAGGGCTCTGAGGGTGTTCTCAGCCGAAGTGTGCTAAGTGGTGGGGTCCCTGGGCATCGTTGTGGTGAGGTCTCACCCGCTGGTTGTAGACAGTGAAGTTGTCATAGAGGTTGACAATGCACTGCGCCTTCTTTAGGAACTTGCTGTACGATGTCTCTGTCCACCAATGCACCAGGTTCCCATGTCGGTCATACTGTCCCCCTGCAGGCACCACTACTGGTCATGCTGAGGGAGCTGGATGGCCCCAGGACCCGCTCTCCCACCCCAGCAGGGTGGAGGTCTCTCACCCCAATCATCATAGCCATGGGTCAGCTCATGCCCGATGATAGT